TAAAGCTCTGAACGAGTAACTCAAAGCGAAGAGGAGCAATACTATAACATGGTCTAGTTTTCGTTTTTTCAAAGGCAAGCCCCGGGATAAAAGTGCTGTATATGGGCTTTTCGTAGTGATGACTGAGCTGCGGAATGAACTGAAAGTGGAAAGGGGAACAAGAGAAATCATTGGAAACGCTAAAATTAAGGCCTTAACCTCAGTAACGTCGGATGTGGTACGATGGCGAGACAGGGCGATCAAAGAAGACAAAACACGCGAGAGAGCACGCCGTTCGAGAGAGCACGCTGATCTCTATATCAATAGCGGTGGGTGGGTTGCGCGAGGGTCGATGGTTGCAGGTTCGTAATGGATTAGCGCCCTAATCGCGCAATTTGGGCAACGAAGCTGGCATGATCTATGAAGGTACGTACCCCAAAATTTCCCTCTGGTATCCTTCCTACTAGTCGGGCTAATCCCGGGTTTGCCTTTAAGAGTGCTAATAAGTTCTTAGTTAAGGTGTTGAAAATTATTGAATTCGCTCTTTCGTCTAAGCGGCTGTCCACAACTTGTTCCTATTAATCCCACCGATTTTTTTAGATTTGGGTACCATCATTCCAAGACTCCGATGGCGACGGGTACGGTGACATGCAGGGTCTTATTGACCGACTCGAAAATCTTCGTAAGAGTGGAGTGCAGGTGAGCGGACTGCTGCCGAAATGCTCTCATTCAAACACTTTCTTCATCCTTATTTCAGACCATTTGGCCCGTTCCATTCCTGATATCCGATGATTACACGAATGCGATTCGAAATTTTGACCAGATGGATCCGAAAATTGGAGTGAATCAGCTGGCAGACAAAGCCATTGAGAGCGCTCATGATAAAGGTATAGTTTCAGATGACCTTTCGGATTCTTTTACCCAATCTGAACTTCTTATAGGCATGAAATTCGTGATCAGCCTTCCCATTGCCACAACTTCAACTGAACACGAGTGGTTCTTGAAGTCATCCTCGGCAAGCCTTCCAGAGAACAGGAATTACTCCGAAGTGAGTGCTCCAAGGCGATTCTTCCCAAGAATAAAGTGACAGTTCTTCCACTGAATTGTACCCACTTTCAGTTCTATCACTGGAGAACCCAAGGTAACCCAGAACTCTTTACCGACTATAAGGGAGCTTCCTATCTGCACGAAAAGAACAACACCAAATCGGCTGTTCTCAATTGGCAGAACTCTAACGTTCGAGCGCACATGTTTGTGAGTTCTGATTCCAATTTCAAGATAAAGGGACTTCTATTTCAAGCAGTGATGTGGTTTTTGTGATAACTTACGAAATTATGCGAAGTTATTGGGAAGTTGGGAAGGTGTCAGAAGAGGCTTTCCGTGAATCACTGGTTAGAAATTACGGTGCTAGGCCACAAATGCTGCCGCTCTTCATTCTCTGACAGTTCTCTCTCTTTCTGCGTCCTCTCGCCTTTATCCTCACTCATTCTCTGATCGCTACAGTGTTTTCTTTTCTTGTGCTTCCATCTCCAATGTTGCGTAACGTAGCACTTTTTGCTCTCACAACTGATGGAATGTGCCGCTCTGTCAAAAATGAGTCCGAAAAGTGGCAACGTTGCATCCTGAATAGCTCTCTAACTCTCAGAGTCCAAGTTGAGGATATTTAGTACCAAAGTTTGCGTTTTAGCTCGGATAAATAACTAGTATGAATCTACCGTAAAACTCTTGTCTCCCGCCTTCTCTGCAAGTTCGTTCTCATGTTTCTTCTCACCGATCCGTCCATCATTCATCCCTCCGTTTTTTCTGTCCCGCACATCCTGTTACTCCTCCCCCGATACCCAGGCTTCTGCATGTCTAAGTTGTGCCATGCTAAATTGGGTTGCGCATGATCATTTTCATACAAATCCTGCTTTACAATCAATCCACCTCTCCGGACGACAGGAGTCTATAGCGCGAGAAATTCTCCAGCACCATCTTAATCCATTTAAGGACGTTCTGTCGTCGTGGATCGATCGTGGGGTGGATGGGTTCTACCTGGTAGGTATCGAGTATCTGTCTCGTACTAAGGGTGGCGCGGAGCCGGTGATTTCATTGAACAACCTTATGATGACGGCGCCGATTGCCTAAGAGGCACACTTTTCAGAATTGGCCTGGAATTGCGGATGTGATCAGCGATATACGAAATCATGTTGACTCCTTTAGTAATGAGAGCTCAAAAGCAGCCGGAAAGAAAATGTGAGAGAAACTGCTTGATGAAGCTTTCTCCAGCAGTAACTCATATTTTCAGAGCCCTATTTGCTTCACGGGAAGAGGCGAAAGAGAAGGACAAGAAGCAGCTAACGACAAGTGGTCTTGACTCTGTTATCAACTACGAGCTTGGGCACGTCAGCAAGAATTCTGGTATGTCTTTAGTTGGATCCTTCCTCGGGTTCAATCATGGCGTTGAGCAAATTTTTGCCGTGAATACGATTTCCCCACCCCTTAAGGGAGGTGTTCACCGTTTGCTCGATCCCGTGTGCTATCCTATCCACAACTGTCCATCTTTCATTTCATGAAAATCAGTCAAACGAAGAAAAAGCTGGAGGAGGAGGGGCATGGATGTGGCGCGCATACAACTTTGAAGGTTTGAAAAATCGTAGTTTGAACGTACTTCTCAATTTTTGGCATCCACATTATTCAAATCCGATTTCACTGAAAACGTTTCTCTGAAAAACGCCTACCCCACCTTTCCTCCGCTCCCCGTCCCTCCTTCTTGGACCTTGCCCAGCAGATTCTTGGTACTTCTTCACTATTCAAAAGAACTCTTCAAAAGTACATGTATGTTCAGAGATCTGCCATCGGAGCGAGGGCTCAGTGGCGACATGCGTTCACGAGATTCTCTCAGATATTCTGCTTTTCCATTCTAATAATCCATCAGTGTGGCCACAGTGGGAGGTTTGATAACAATTTAGGTTATTTTTCATCAAAAAGATTTGAGGTCTTCAAAGTTTATTTCAGTTCGGTAATGCTTGGTTGTCCCGTCTGGCTTCTCGAGTAGACAGTCGCGCTCATGCCGAACTGCTCATCATGACCCAACTGATGCTCCCAGGCTCGAATAGTTTCTACTACGGAGATGAGCTGGGAATGAAAAACCTTCCAAATGACTCAGTGGTCAGTGGTTTTCATGAACTCTTTACTTGAAACTGCAATAGCTCTTTACTCTATTCAGGTGCCACCACAACGTGGAGCCATGCAATGGGATGATTCGTCATTTGCTGGCTTTTCAACGAATTCGAAAGTTCCTGTCAATTCAGACTATAAGAGCATCAATTGGGCGGTATGTTTGCATGGAGTGAAGCTGCGGTCTCTCAGTTTGACGTTATTAGGCTAAAAAATTGTTTCTGACGACTCCGAGCTTGCCTATGGCCAAGACCTTGCATTCTCAAGAACTTCCGCTTAGAGAACTGTTAGATAGAAGGGGTGACTTTCGCAGCCCTTTTTTTAAGGCACGGATCAGCTTAGGCATCATTCATCATTTGCCATTAATCGGGCCCATTCAGATCAGGCACAGTTACCGATCCCATCGCCGAAGATGCTAACCGGCAGGTAAACGTTGGTTGCGCTCCAGGCGCCGGGCTCACGTATCCACAAAAGTCTAAGCGCGCGCTGTCGTCAAAGTGTGTAGTCGTTCAACCAATAATGAAAAAAGCAAGCACAACTTTAATAGCTATACGTAGCAAATTCCGACCTATGGGTAGTCTTGGCTCGACCGCAGACACCCTTCTGATTTGAGGGACGTTCCTTTTGATATGACAGAGACGTATGGAGGACGCTAGACGGTTAGCGCCTATGCGAAACGTT